AATGACGCGTGACTCCCCAGACATTTGTTAACAGATCTTTTTGAGCTAAGGCAGCTAGAAATTCATTTATGCTAATATTCAAATCACCATAACGACAAACTAAAACATAGCTGTTCTCTTCAACCGGTTTAGAATTAAAGATACCAAGTTTCTGCTTTGGATTACCATTCTGACTCGGCGAAGCAAGAACACCAGCATAACTCTTGGACATATTCAACTTTTCTTCGCTTCAATAATCGCTTAATCGCTTAAAGCAAACATACTATATATAGAAATGTACAAATGTTTTAATAAATTTATATAAATTGGAAAAAAGACTATCCTTGTACCAATGGTTGATGTTTTAAAAATATTTTCGCTTGTGGGTTTATAAAATCTTAAAAACGTACCAACAATTTTAAATTTTTTAAAGATCATTCAATTTATTCAAGAACAGGATTTTAAAGTAACTTAATTAAACTTGTAAGAATGAACCACGGTAGTTAATCATCAAAAAACTAACTTTATGTACCGTAATTAAACCATAAAACTATAATATGCAAAATATGAAAGTTGCAATTCCCGATTCTATCTTGTTAATGTTGCAACTTATTTGGCTTTAGATAAATACTTAAACAAAAGCTCTGATATATTTTTTTTTAATTTGAAACCAAGAATTTTTTTGGGGGGTATTTTTTCCTGGGTGACTTTTTTTTCGGGCGGATTTTCCACGGGGAATTATTTCGGGGGGATTTTTTCCAGGTTTTTTCTTAAAACCTATTTTTTTAGTTCAAAAAATTTAAATTAATGCAGAAAATATAATACGCCTCATTTAAAAAGTGTGATTGTTTGTTTACCTATACTTATGTTTAGTGACGCATTACTATACAATTTATTTGCGGTTGCAGAAATTTGAGCTATTTTAAAATATAACGTTGTTTAAGTTCAACAACGTTATACTTAAACAACGTTTTATTTTAAAATAGCTCAAATATAGAACAACTATAAATTTGTATTTGTTAAGTATATCTCTGATTTACAAATTTTATGGACAGTTTATTTAGAACAACAATTCTCTAATATATTCATTACAAAACCGCTCAAACATTTTTTTTTTTTTTTCTTTTTACAAAATTATAAACATTTACAGATTTTTATAATATATATTGTATACCTATATATAAGCAGGGCCGTACCGAACAACGAAGACTTGGGGGGGGGGGGTGCAAAGGAAAAAAGCTAACTTTACAGTCAAGGTTTTTTTTTTTTTTTAGAAGCCAATTTTCAGTTTTAACCGACAGAGTCCCAAATCTTCCAATTCTCCGACAAAAACCTACAGAATTTTGTAAATCTGGGGGGATGAGGGTCGATCCCATACACATCCCCGTCGGTACGGCCCTGTATATAAGTAATATAGTTTTAAATATTATTCTTTTAACAATATGCCGTTATATAATCTAAATCACACATAAAATCACATTAAAAAAAAGCATAGTTTAGTAATGATAACAAATTGTATATTACAATAAGTAAAAGTCTTAACACACCTAGGTTTTTGTTTTTTATTTTATATATTTATACTTTTTCTTTTATATATATTTATTTTTATCGCTCAAACATACTTACAACAGTTATAAATTGAAAATTATCAAAACGGTAAGCCACATGATATCATGGAATATTCTAGAGTTTACAATGCATTGCGATAGAATTATTACAATCGGTTAAAATTTAAAATTCAAAATGAGGCAAGATCGTGATTTTTTATATGTATGGCCCATATAATAGCCACATCAAATTTAGCACGTATTTATTTAAAGATTATGCTACATTAAGTGGAATAGTTATGTCAACCGCATTATGTGTTCCAAGTGGGCCACACTTATCTTCGTCAAAAACGTCATTCATCAACTGTAATATATTTTTGCACTTTTAATCCACACGAAAGCACTATGACCACATGTGGGCCACATATACCTTTCTTGTCGGGGGGTAGTCTTTTCAAGTAATATTTCTGCTAAAAAATAGTTGTGAAAAAATCTCTTTGCATTTAATTTTCTTAGATGCTTATGGTCTGTTGCACAATATTTTACAGTATAGTTCATAATAATTATCAGCTAAGAATTAGATTTTTAACAGGTTCTACTACCCGAGGATCTCATTATACCTCACATTTCTTTATATAAAAATTATTGGTTTCTCATATTGAAAAAAAAATTTCATATGTTTAGTTTTTTTATAATTGTTAAAAGTTTTAAATAACAGATTTACTTTATTTATAATAGTAGGAGAGTATGTAATAATGATTATTAATGATTTGAAGATGTAATCAAAGATTTTAAATTTTGATGACTTGTACTAACATCTATGGAAAAACTCTAACATTTATGGAAAAACTCTAATTCGTTAATTTGAATGAAATTTCGATTTTGCTTACTATTTTAACTGTTTATTTCCGTTTGTGGTTTTTTCATTAACATTTTTGGGAATTAATAAGAACAACTTTTACAGGGTTAACCCTAACCATATTTAGATTTATTAAGCTGTGTCCAAGTTAAAGTTGGCGCTATTTGAAGGTATCTACCCAGCCAGCCAGCCGTACGAGATGTCAAATGGAAACCGTACGGGATTTGGCCGCGGGATCTATATGGGTACCATACGGGCTACATAAAAAAAAAATGAAAAATTTATCGGCTGCTTTTTTTTTCCCTTGTTGACCCCGGATATATTTTTTTATTTTTTACTATTTAGAACTTAGATTTTTTTTATATCTTATATTAACAACAATTAGTTTAAAACGACTTTTTTAATTTTAAGCAAATGAAATGATTAAGTTAATTATGATAATTTTTTATAAAAGTTTAAAAAGCTAAAGGTTTTATATGCAAATTGAAAACACAAGGACATATACATGTATGTTTTATTAAATAAAATAAACTGTTATTACATGAGTAACAAGTTTTTTTATTTGGCCTGTATGGTACCCATATAGATCCCGCGGCCAAATCCCGTACGGTTCCCATTTGACATCCCGTATGGGTCCCACGCGGCACCCGCATCACAATGCTGGCTGGGTAGACCATTTACTACGATGTAAATGAGCGGTAGTCAACCGGGTTCCCATTGCAGACAATAACACTTTATTGATGATAATAAAGCATTGCAAACAATAATGCTTTATTATCGACGTTATTTTGATGAAAATAATATATTACAAGAAGAAATGCTATTCGCAATCAATCATATTAAAGATACAACTGGATTATTTCTATTTACTACTGTGGAATCATATAATACAAAAAGTAATGTTTCTTTGAATAATATTTTTGCTTGCGCTACCAATAGAGCATCAGCAATGGTAGGTCGCCTCCCTGGGTTTGTTGCTTTTTTGAAGGCTGAAGTACCAAATGTTCCGTTTATTTATTGTGTGGTGGACAGACAACATCTTGTTTATAAAAAAACTTAGGTATGTTCAATCTGTAAATAATATAAAATATAATCCCAAAAATGATAGGATGTTTTAGCAGCTGTGTCTGGATAAAAATGAAAGTTTTATTACTTTTGAACACAGAAGTTCGATGTCTGTCAAGAGGTACATGTTTAAATTGTTTGTAGTATTATATGATAGTATCATACAATTTTTTGAATCATGCAAGTTTTTTGAGTCTAAAGATTAAATTTTTTTTGCAACATTTAAAATATTTAACATTTTGCAACGTTTAGAATTATTTAAGTTTTATCATATCATTTTGTTGTATGAAATTCTCAGACAAACTAGATTAGATAAATATAACCATGGCCAATCAGACAACTTTGTTTTTTTTTGTTTTTTTTTTTGAAGCTTTACAAATGTTTTTATAACTTTTTTCGATGTGTAATTTTTTAAATTGTACATAAAAAAAAATTAATTGAAGTAATGATTTTGGTTTTCTAATGATATCATTAACGATTGGTAACACTATTTGTTAATGATTAATGAAAAGTAAATTAAAATTACTTGTAAGATATAAAAAGTATCGAATTTTAAAAGCGAAGGTAAAGTAAGAGATATGATTTTATTTTGGAGCACTAGACCACAAAGAATAAGTTGTTAACGTTGACTGTCAAAAGAGCGTACAAATTTTTAAATGTACTAAATGATGGCTTTTTACATTTAATGTTTAACCAGACTATTTGCGACTTTTGCCAGACTATAAGTCATGTTTTTTTACATTTTTTTTACAAAAATATATTGCTTTTGTTGTGATCTTTTTTTAATTAAACATCTGTTTTGATATGGTTGAATGAATTCATACTCACAGTATAAAATTTTTTATTATAAATAAGTTACTGGCAACAAGTTTTAAAAATATAAGACTCAGAAAATATTGAAAAAAACAACAACAACAACAACAAAAACGTGTCAGCAACAAATTTTTGGAACAAATACTTCACGGTACAGTTTATTTTCGGGGACAAAAAATTGACAAACCCGGTCAAATTGATTCAACTCTTATCCCAAAATATTAAAACAAGGACTTGAGTAAAAAAAATGCAGAAAAATAATAATCATAATCTTCTGCTAAAATTATCTCAGATCTTCTGACGAGGGTTTAAATGATTTTATTCCGAAACCACTAGATTTACCTCTCTACTATGTACCAAGAAAGATATTAAAAGTTTAGGAACATTATAACCAGTACTTTTCGCTAAAATATACTAGTTGGTTCATTAATTAAGTCCAAAGAGATATATAACTTTAGTCTTTTATTCTCAAAAAATAACAGGTAAATTGTTAAGTTTGCTTCAAACTTAATTATATATTTTATTTTATTTGTCACTAAAAAGTCACTAAAAACGATCATTTTAAAAAGCATTAACTGTCAATTACAATACTGAAATATCAGAAGACCTTTCAATTTCGCTATGGCATTTTTGTAGCACTTTAATTTATGTTCGGCCAATCAAAAATGTTTTATGTTGTTTTAAAGGTGCCGAAAAAAAAACGAATGTGCCAAATATAAAACAATAATAAAGAAATTGTTGAAATAGTTTAAATTCCACGTGTCGAGTGCCGCGTCTGTAGACATCAGGAGTTGATTACTTTTTTGTTTAGAGGATAATTGCTATTGTTTAAATTAATAGTAATACGAAATAAATGGTCCCAAACTTTTTTTCATAATGGAAGATGAAGAAAACACCGAATTCGATTTGAATCCAATGGAAACCGATCCAGGGTATTTTTAATTTGTAATGCATATTTTAATAATGATTAATTTTTTTAAAAATATTATAATAATATTTGACGCAAAGTTTTATTTAGACAGAAATATTTTTTAGGAAGATGTTTATAGGAGGACTGCCGAGCCAGACAACGGCAGGTATCAAGCCATAAATTTTGGTTAAAAAATTTGTTGTGAATATTAAATAATCTATAAATATGTTAACAATTCTCATCACTTGTTGTTATTTTCTAAATATTATTCTCAAATTTGTTTTCCTTTTGCTTTTTTGAGCTCTTTGTTATACTCCAATGGCGAATCATACTGGTTTGATTATTTTCTTGATATCTTACAGTTAGAACTTCTGTATTATCTTAACAAAAAGTTATATGATATTTTTAAGCCGATTCTTTTTTTTTTAAATAACTTTGTTTTTTATATATATAACTTTGTTTTATAATTATATATATATATATATATATATATATATATATATATATATATATATATATATATATATATATATATATATATATATATATATATATATATATTTTTTTTTTGGAGATATTTTGCAACGTTACTTTGAAAAGTTTGGTGAGGTCAAAGAAAGCGTTGTAATGCGCGATTCAGTTACAAAACGATCGAGGTACGTGTCTTAATGGTAAAATTTTTTTTAATATTATTAAGTTAATAAGTTTACAAACGTATTTTTTGGAGTTAATTTTTTTTAAAAAGTAATTGAAGTTAATAATGATACTTATCGTTGTTTACAATTACAGTGGGCAGAATTGTGCTCAAGTGAAACGTCCAATGTAAATAGGTAGAAGCCACTGAAACATGACCAAACAAATTTGAAATGCCTTTTAAATGTTCAGTTAAAGTGAATTTGTTTAATCGCACCGAGTACTCAAAGCATTCCCAGATTCACCTGCTCTTTATTAAATTTATTTGAAACCGATTAAACTATTGCCATCGAACTTAAGACAAAAGAAATTTTATTTTTAGTAGACGCAAGATAAGTTTTTGAACAAACATAAAATTTTTTTTATTAAAATTCAAACACCCGCCAGATTTTACTGCTAATATAAAGAAAAATATTTCTAGACAATATTTGACGTTTAGTAAATATTAGACATTTAGGAGGTGAGTCCTGTGCGATATTCGGCTATATTTCTCAGAAAAGATAAAGCACATAGTTTTAAAATATAGTTTAATTAAATAAGTTGTTGAAAGATATTTTTGATTTTTCTTTTTACTTTTCAACATGTAATTAAAAAAATAAATCGGGCATTATACTTTTTTCAACTTCATATACAAAAACAAAAACAAAAAAAACACACAAAAAAAAAAGTTTTTCAATAATGGCATTTGATTCCATTTAAATAGATAACATTTAAGTAGATAACATTTAGAAAGATTATATTGATTTACCGATTAAAACTCAAAAAATTGGACTAAATTTGACATTTTACAATAAAGTTATATTTAATTTCAGTCAAAAATTGCAAGTAAGGCCAATTTACTTTAAATTCTAAAAAAAGCTGACATAAGTTGGCTATTAAAATTAGGAAAAAGAATGTAAAACTTTACTAATGTTAAATAGAAGTTAAATAGAACTAATGTTAAATAGTACATTTACAAATTTTTTTCCGTTAAAAAAAAACTTTTTATTTACTTGGTTTTTTTTTTATCACCAAGCGAGATTATTTTTTATCACCAATCTGTTAAGCATTAGTGGTATATTTAGTTTAGTGTTAAAAAACATTCAGCACTTAGCTAAACCAAATCAGGTTGCATTACTATTAAAAAAAAATAATTGAAATAAAATTTAGTCTAATTGAGTAAAAATATCTATTTACGTTTATTTCATAGTTACTTTCAATAAAAAGAAAAAAAAAAAAAAAAAATACGGTTCAAATTCATATTAATTTTCTGAGCAAAAGCCCATTTAAGCATATAACATTTTGGAAAAAATTTTGCTATTTTGTCTTAATTATTTATTTTTGTTATTTAGAAGTTTATACTTTTAAGTAATAAAATTAGATTGGACTTTTCTTAGTCTGACTGGGATATAGTTTTTATGGGATAATATTTGATTGATTTAAAATATTTGTGTACATAACCACACTGTTTTAATTTATATTTCTTTTTCAGTAAGGTTTTATGTAGGTATGCATTTATGCATCACCTTAGGTAACTAATGCTTACTTATTATTTAACACATTTTCTACCAACAATAAGTGTAATAGCACCACAGTCAAATTTAAATGTTTAAACTAAAAAAGTTACTAAAGTTGATATGAAACTAAAAAATTTGTACCAAATTCTAATTTATTGGAAAATCCAGAAATTATATGGCCCATTACAGACTGCCTCACTGTAAAATTGAAGCGTTTAAACAAAATCTAAATGCATGCATTTAAGTATAAACACATAGATAAAATGAATTGTTATTGTTAGAAGTACACACAAAGAATATTATTCTCTATTGTTCAATTAGATAGGATAAAAAAATAATTTGACATTAAAGATAACATCAATCATTTACAGAAGCAGTTGGTAAATATTTATTAAATATTTTTGTTCCAAAAATTAGTAACTTTTGGAACAACAAAAAAAAATCAATTTTTAATCTTAAACAAGATTTCTTTAATTTAAATAGTTGCTCTCCTCTGAAAAAAGCTTATTTGAATAATAAAATTAATAAATTCTCTGACTCTGAGCAGGAGAATGACAGCTAATATGAAAAGAAAGTTTTCATTTGAATAGAAAGTTTTCATTTCATTTGAAACTTGTTTACTCAATACTAATGGCTTTTAAAAATCTTTTTTTTTCCCACTTAAATCTATATACCTTAATACTTGTTTTTATTTTTGTCTCAAACTTATTTAAAAAATTAAAAGCTACAAACACTAAAAAGCTTTGCAAAATGATGTGTCATTAGTTGTAATACCTTATCAAAGGCTTTTACCTTTGATAAGGTATTACAACTAATAAACCAATTTTTTTAATAACAAATTTTTTATTAAAAATTTTTTATTCCCATTACTAATATACTGATAAATTCTGTATTTTTTTTTGTAACTTTTTGAACTTATTTATTGGGCAGAGACACTGGTTTGTTTAAAGTAAAAACTTTGTTTTGATTTTTTAACTATAATTACTTCCCATTTGCTATTTTGCAATTTTGGCTCAGTCGTTAGAGTGCTAGACCTCAGATTTACAAATATAAAGTTCAAATCTTGCTGTAGTTGCAAAACTATTATTGGTAAGTTAAAATCTGCTTTGTTAAATGCTGTTTCCATGGTGGTGGTGTAGTAAGGCGTTCTTAGAGTTACTTTCTTAAAAGTCCTTAGTATATTACTGGAATTGTTATTGTGGGTATTTCAATGTCTATAAAACAGAAAAAGAATTTATGAATCCTTTAAAAAACAATAATACATAGGCTAAATGGCTATCAAATGCATAGGCTAAATGGCTATTATATTAAATGTAGCATTATAGCAAATTTGTATAAAATTGCAATAAAATAATCTATTTAAATTAGAGTTTCAACAGATATTTTATTATAAAGTTGATAAAAACCTTAAATGTTTCCTAATGACACTTTATATATTCATAACTTGAACAATTTTTTTCAATCTTTATATATTCAAAATGGTGATAAAATCTTAGTGAAAGTTGATCCTATTATTCTGGTTTACTTTTAAAATGATTTATGGGTAATATAATCAATTTTAAAAAAATTATAAAACAATTGAAGTCATCTATATTTATTAAGTTTCATTAGGATACTATAATAACAGCCTATGGAAAGGCTTTTATTATTTTTTATTAGTAGTATCCACAAATAAAATCATAATCAAACAAATTAAACTAATGATTAACTTTAAAAAGAAAGAAAACTTTATAATATGAATTAAAATTGAGTATATGCTCATTGCAGCTCAATAAATTTAAAATGAATTAAGTAACAAATAAATGTAATGAGTCAAGTGTTTAATCTAACCTTGCTATCTTGCTATGCCCCTGATCTCAGTAGATAAGATATGGTTATTATATGTTTTTAAATCAAGTTATAAGTTGCTTTACATTGTACAAAACAAGTATCTACCCAACATTTTATGATATTTTTTCAAAATTTAGTATCTCCTTACTTTTATAATTGACCATCTGCCCCCCATCTCATATACACTGTTTGTAGACCCATCTCTCCCATCTGAGCGTACTTATTTTATGGACGATCCATTGTAGATATAATTTTTTTATTTGCACAGATCACTACAAATTTTTCAAAAATTTATTGTTATCTTTTTATAATTAAGGGGATTTGGTTTTGTCCGCTTTGTTGATCCAAAATCTGTAGACCAAGTTCAAAGCTCTTGCCCTCACATCATCGATGGAAAAAAGGTCAGAGTTGAAACTTTTACTTAAAAAATATATATATAAGTTTAATACATAATACATATTTTTCATACTTAGATTGACCCCAAAAGAGCTGTTCCAAAAAAGTCGCCACTACCTGGTCAAAATCAGGTAAGCACTAATATTTAATATTTTGATAGTTTTTTAAATCTTTCAAATTTATCTTTCAAAGCTTTTAATTTTTCAAAAGCTTTCAAAGGTTTCAAATCTTTCAAAGCTTTCAAATTTATTTCAGGACTCTTAAAATGGGAGGGAGGTGTAACTTTAATTTTTTTGAATTCATCTCACTTAAGTAGACACTAACGCCACTTAAATGTTATAATTATTATACCTACACATGACTTACATTAATTCCATCTCAAAAAACTAAAGTGGCCCACATCAAATTTTCATGATGGATGAAGAAAATTAAAAGTTTTAATTCTTAAATAAAAATTTAAGTTTTGATTATTGTTTTTTTGATTTTGCTCTATTTGTTAATTTTGTTACTGTAGGATATATACATGTTAGACTTGCGAAACATTCCAACAAGTTGTATCTTATTTGCTCTGTTTGCCACAAACTTAAATAAAATAAACCACATTATCCTTGCAGGCATTTCAGTTCAATTTTTATTGAAATGAAGACTTTGTTGCAAAATAGTATTTTATATATTAATAGTGTTACCAACACAAAACTTTGTTTTTATTTATTATAATAATGATATGGTATATATGTAAAATTGTTCTTGCATTTTTATAAAGTTTATAATATTTTACATAAAGTTATTCAAAACATTTATTTAATTTCTGTTTGTTAAACCTTTTTTTTTACCAAACAAAATTTTTTTACTAAAAATTATGCCCATTTGATTACACTGGTCACCAAAAAATCTTTTTGTTTTGTTGCCTAGCCAACGATATGTTTTTTGTAGAGCATTTCTCATTTTGATTTCAAATATACCACTCATTTTTCACCATCATATTAGGCTGCAAAGTTATTTGGGTTCAAATCATTGCATTTTGATTTTTGCAAATCAAGCATTTGGGATAAAATCCCTAATATTGCCGAAAAAATTCTTTCAAAAGTATGTCAATCTGGGTCTCAAAAGAAGTGTTTCAGTATGTTTTCATAATAAAGAGCTTTTTTTTTATTTTCAATTTTTGATAACAGCTACTCCCACAATCTCGCTGTATATTTAAATTGACTGGATTAGCACAAAATTTTGAAACAAATGGGCTAACATACCAATGTTTAGCGTAAAGTTGATAGAAAAACAATTGCTTAAAAACTTGAAAAATGAACAAAACTTTTGCTGATTTTATTTTAATTATTTTATTTAGAGTTAATAAAACATTTATTTTTTTGCTTTTAAATTAATTGTTTTACAATATAAATAAAAGGTTATAGAATTTAGATTTTCGTTTTGCCATTTTATTTTGATTATTTTATCAAGAACTTAATAAAAAACTTGAGCTTTTTTTTCCAATTATTTAATTTATTATTTAATTAAAAAGTGTCTTTTTTGTTTTTATTTTAATTATTTTATTCAGAATTTAAATAATGTTTGTTTCAATTATTTTAGAAATTAAATATAAAATTCACTCTGCTGTTTCTTTTTTAAATGATTTTATTCAGAGCTTAATTAAAATATTTGTTTTTTCGTTTTATAGTAGAGTTGGTAAAATACGAACTTTAATTCCGAGGGCTGCATTCTATATACTGTGGTTTAGGAATTTTCATTAAATTTCTGATATATCATTGAAGCAACTTTATTTGTTATGCCAGTATTTATTACTTTTCCACACTTTATATTGGTCCAAACCTCAGTTCTATTAAATATTTTTATTGCTTTCTATCATTTATATTATAGTTAATGCTGCTAGGTGAACTTCAGGATGTTGATTTTTTAATACCATAGTTTCCTAATTTTTTACCATCAAAATTGAATTTTCATTTTTAAAAGTTTTTTTTCAAGTCATGCTGCATTTTCTCTAATTTTATAATAAATGGTATATATATTGCAGATTGAGTTGGCATAGGGATGTTAACACCCAGGGCCGACGACAGCGGGGGGCCAGGGGGCATGTGCCCCTCCCCCAATTTATTCTAGAGGACCTTATTTTTTTTTTTTCAAGATATAGAGGAATTGTTTCACAAATTGATGATTGTGCCATCCCACTTCAAAACCCGTGTTGTCGGCCCTGACACCTTAGTCAGATTGTTTGAAAACTTTTTAGAGGAGCTTTTGTTTCACTAAGTGAACTGCAGTTCCTGTTGTTAAGTATTGCTTGGTCTTTCTTTTTTTACCAGGAGGTTCCATGGTATAATCACAGTCATTAGTATTACTTACTGAAGTTTCTGGATATTCTGATGTATTGGACCCTCTACAACTAAAATGGAAACTCCAAGTATTGATAGAGAATTAATATTTACCAAAGAAATAAAACTTGAACTAACAAAATATTTAAATTGGTGTCCTGAGGGGGAGGTTTTTATAAAAATATGTTCTCTATTATACTATTTTAACTATTTTGTACCAATTTTATTCATATATTTTAACTACAGTCAAAATATGTATTTTAAATAAGTAAATTAAATGTTATTAAATTTAACAAATTTAAAAAAAGCTGTTGTTCATAAAAATAACGAGAGACCGTTGTAAAGTTGTCCAAAGGTTTTACCATAATCTGTTGACACAAATTTGGGGCATTCTATTAATTTAACAAAATATTTGCTATCTAATGAGTACTATTCTGTTTGCAAATACTCCCACATCTGTTTAGCACTGCTTAGAGATCTATTTTTAACTCTTCCATTCAATTCTTCCCAAACTAGGTCAATTGGTGATAGATCAGGTGATTGGGATGGCCATACCATAGTTTTTATATTTTTCTTGTTTTTTCTTATTTAAATGGAACAAACACAATTTTGATGCAATTATTCTGTTGAAATATGAAATATTTCAACAGAATAAGTGTTGCTGCAAAATTTGTAAATATGCTTCAATGTTAAGTTAGCCATCTATTTTTGCTAATTTTCCATGTTAATTATTTCCAAAACATCCTAAAACCAGAAACTGGCAGAGTACAGTTGTTTTTTAACTGTTAAAACTGGCACTTTACTTGGAAAAATTTCATTTAATAATATATATTTTTTATATCTGTGTGTGTGTATATATATATATATATATATATATATATATATATATATATATATATATATATATATATATATATATATATATATATATGTATACGTATTCAAATGGTTTAAGTAGCACCAATTTAGTAATAATTTTCAAATAAATAATTTTTTAAACTTTTTAACAGTATGTTTTATCAATAACAATTGATATCATCAGGTATAAAAAAAATTCATTTCAATTTCTATATATAAACAAATTTTTTGCTGCATTTAAAATTTTATTAGTTTTTACAATAGTTACCATTGTTACATTTTTAAAAAATGCATTGTTACATTTTTAAAAAATGCAGTTGCAAAATTTTCATTTCCCTAATATATATACATATATATTTATATATGTGTATATGCATATATGTATATACATACAAATATATTTATATATACACACAAATGTATTTATTTAATATTATAAATATTTATAATATATATTTAAATCTTTAATATTAGTTTAAAAAGGTTTTTGTTGGTGGCTTGCCTCCTGATACAACTGCAAGAGATTTGACAGAATATTTTGAAGCATTTGGAAAGGTTTGTTGAACTGGAGTTTTTATTTTTATATATTTTTTATATTAATAAAAATAGTTAAATTTTTTTAGTGTAGTTTTATCATTTAGATAATTATTAATTATTTAAATGATAAACTTAATTTTATTATTTAATTTAACAAGTACTACTTTATGAAATATGTTATTTTTTACTATTATTTTTTTCTTTTTTAATTATTGTTTTCAAAGACTTTAATAATTCAAATTTCAAATTAAAAAAACCTTTTAAAATTTATTTTTGATTTCAGGTGACTGAGGTTTTATTAATGCATGATCGCACAACTAAAAGGTTGAGAG